CCCGGAGGCGGAATGGTTCTCCCCCACGCCAGGCGCGGGCCAGGCCCTTGCCCCCTGAGGCCGCTGCAGCAATCGCTGCCCGGGCCGACCGCTAGGCACGGGCGGATACGCGCAGGGCCTGCGGGTCGTCTTTGCAGCCTCCGGTACTCACCGACGGTGGGACGGGCGGAAAAAGCGACTCGTTTAACGAGTCAACTCATCTCCTCCACGTTAGCGTTGGCTCTTCGTAGGTACCTGCAGCTCAAGGCATCACCACTAGACAGAAGATGGTAGCATAAGAAATTTCTCCCCTTTCAGAGGTGCGCTGAATTTCCCCCCATACTGATTCAAAATAAGAGTGTAATAAAGCAATAAAGATCACAGTCCTTTTATTGAGGAGCTGCCCTCACCCAACAAATGCATAATGTGAGAAAAACATTTACTAGTAGACTAAACACATAGCTGTTTTCTGAGCACTCCTAAACAGCTTTTTTTTTTTACTTTTTACAGTATTAACTTTTTCTTGAACAATTTACAACAGTGTAAGATTGAAAAGGTAGTGAGCCACAGTGTAGGGTTTGTTTTTTGCAAAAAGCATGGATGAGTTCAAAGGCAGAGGTAAAAGGCAGTATTCAGGCTCACTGTTGCTGCACTGGGGTGACAAGATAAGTATACATAACATTATCGGACAAAAACACAGCCTTTTTCTCCACCAAGTTCAAAGCGAAGCAGGAATAAGTCTTGGCTACAGTTCAGGACCTCTGTTCTAGGGATGAGAACAAGCTGATTCAAAAAGTCTAATCTAGATCTATAGGGGAGACCAGCTGTATTGGTCAAGATTAATTTAAAACTAATGGGTTTCTTTTCCTGCTTAAAAAAAAAAAAAAGTTTGCTTTTATGTCACAAGAGTTCTCCAGCAGAGTCCCAAAAGGCCTTTAATGCTATGTCACAAAGTCAACCTGAGCAAGGAATGTGCATTAGCATGCAAAATTGATCTATAATTTATGTGGAAGAACACTCTGATATTACATACTCTTTAGATACAAAGTACAATAAAGACCAAATGAAAATAGCACCTCAGAATCTGCTATGGGTAGGGAACTGTCATTTGAATAAGAACTCATAAAAAAAAAAAAGAAAGATCTCCATTAGCCATGTTCGTAGGCCTTGGAACACTGTTACTAAGTTTTCTGCATAGTAAGATTTAAGATTTTCACCAGAAGTTTAGGTTAGATATGCCTTTGGCTTTTTAGGAGGCTTTTTATGAGTCAAAGTAGTACAGTGCTCTGTTTTCAGCTATATTTTAAATACTTATTACCAAAAGCAGTGGTTCTTTTTTAAGGTCCAGGACTACTATTTATGAGTTAACATCTCTTCTTGATAATTAATGTGACATAGATGCAAGTGCATATGTCCTTAAGTTACAGAAGAGAGGTTTTTATAACATATATTAGCATGGATTTGAATGGGTGCCATTATGAAATCCAAAACAAAAATATATAAGGATTTGGGCCACTGAATGTGCCCCCTATTTTTATAAATATCATTAATGCCTGAATTATTATTACATGTATTTTTATTTATATATTTAATTTATAGTCTTTTCCCCCCCCATAAAAGCTACAATTCGGAGCATATATGCTGAGAAGAGTAGGAAATAAAAAAGAAAACCAACCAATGACCAACTTTTCAACGGTATTTGGGCAATTAAACATAAAAGCAAGCACTTAACTTGCTATATACCATTAGAAAATTATCACTGCAAGAGGTTATTACAATCCTGAATTTGTAATTGAACTTCCACCATCTAAAATACTGAACTAAATTCAGAAGTCATTCTTTCATATCAGTACATGACATATATTAAAAAAACATATCAGTGAAGAAACAGTAGCAAGCCTGCACTGCTACAGATAACACTGTACCTCATCTTTTGATGTGTTACTTCAAGCACATTTACACTATTAACAGCAAATAACGCAATATACCTGTATTTTCACGCCTGTTTCAAATATAAATCGTGACAAGATAATATTTCCTTTTCTGAAAAAAAGTTTCTGAAGAAAAGAAAACTAGTTTTTCAGAAAAGAAAAAGTTTATCATCACCCCAGTTTTGCAGAGTATTGCAATGGGGTATGGATTAAAAAGCTAATTATAACTATAAAAATATATAGTAATTTGCAATTTACTACAGCAGCAAGTGAGTACATACTGATACCACAGAACAACTGCAGAATTTAAAACCGTTAGAAAAAGAAATTTACCCTCTAGACTGTAGATTTTTCATCTTTAATTGCAGTGATAAACAAAGTCTCAGAAGTCCAAAGTCCAAAAATAAAAATCCTAAGGAGGGAAAAAAAAAAGTCTGCCATTTTTAACTATATGTCACAATGCTAGCTACCCCAGGAGATATCTGTTTTGGTTCTCTCTTTGAGAGGAGGAAAAAAACAAACAAACAAACCTCTCTATAGGTTCAGAATAAGTATGAAGCAATAAAGTATCAAATGCAACTTCCATTAATAGAAAACAATTCAAAAAAAAAAAAAAGAAGCCCTTTCGCTACACAGCTCTTATTAGGCTGTCCAGCCTAGACCTTACAAGCTACTAAACATTATCAAACTAGCAAGACCTGTCACTGTGCTTAAGTTTGACACCCTTAATTTCAATGTATGTCAGCCACATAAACAGTCAGATACATGGTCAGGCATAACAACCAGCCCGCAGAATCATTAAACTCTCACCTCAGATGACAACAATACTGGACTCTTTAAACAAACAAACAAAAACCTCACAAAAATTTTCAAATAGCTCTTGCAAATAATTCAACACAACAGATGGTGATAGGGATGTGAGCCAGAACATCCAGAGTCAAAAGCTGCATCTTTAGTTAAGACTAATAACTTTTTCAGCACTAACTACATTCCAGTCAGGTAACTCACTACAAAATTAGTCCCTTATAATAAACTGTTCCACAGCTATTTTTCAGATTTACAGAAAGACAACGTGTTTATTACAAAAGAGAAAAAAGATAAAAGGAATAATTCTATAAAATACTGATCAGCAATAAAATATAGACGTTTAGTATAAGTTATATTTACCAAATAGCATTGGACTTCTCCCTAGAAAATTTTAAGCAGAATGTACAAGAAGATTCAGAAATTTTAAAAAGGCCCTTGAACACAACTAATAATATGATGCATTGAAATGTGTGCCTAGAACAAAATATGCACCCACTCCACAAAATTATCTGTACTATCCCTATTTTATGCTGTCGAAATAATGTATAATTACAGTGATACCAAATATGTATTGTATATAATTAGAATGAAATAAATTCATTATAAAAATCAAAGTGCTATGAAAATGTATTTAGATTCACTTTTGCAGATGCAAAAGCTGTTTTTCACACTTATTTAAACTACAGACTCAGATTAGCTAAGCCTCCAAAACAGAGTAACCATAAGTTTTACTCTCTTCTAACTCAGTATAAGCCCTTGCAGCTACAAAAGAAAATCTTTAGCCACTCTCCTGAGATCCTTTCCTGTACATAACGTATACAGAAGCAGCACACAGATAATAACACACGTTCTGCACAAAGGTAATGCTATGCTCTTCTTTGCAGTCCCTCTTTAATCAGTCAAGGTAAGACAGAAGGCTACATTACAATAAGAACATGGAAGTACTAAATATGAACAACAAAAATCAGTGCCATATATTTATCTAAACTGTTGTTAAAGCACAAGTAATGTTTAACTACAAAGGGCATTTGTTAGTTTTTGGTTATGGGTTTACTCTTCTGCATTAATTAATTAAGTGTAAATTCTACTACTACAAGAGTCACTCATTTCTTTTTCAAGCTTTGTCATTCAAACTTATGCACTAAATAGTTTTCAAAGTTATGACACGCTTTTTCTCAAACACTCATTAGATTCAAGCTATTTCTTCAGTCAAATTTCATCAACTTGTCAAGGATCTACAGACTATTCACAGTCTTAACACATAGCAAATGAACTAAATTCATTCAGAGAGAAGCAGCATATTCACAGAGCAAAAAAAGGAGACCACTTTATTAAACCTATGAACACCAATAAAGCAAAGTCCAGAATTCTTGTGTTGGTAGAGCACGTTTTACAGAGAGGTAGATAAGAGCATAACCTTACACCCATAAGGAGCTGAAAGCAGAATCAGGACTTCAGCCAGTTACGTGTTTGTTTAAGGTCAGTAGCTAGCTATAGCGGTAGAAAAATGAGAAACACCCTCATAAGCAGTACTCCTCAGCCCATTTTTATGGACACCTAACAAAACTAAAGCCTTTATTAGATGCAAAAGAAAAGTCCAAGCAGCAGTCTCCCTTAAAAAACCTCAACTT